TTGCAGTGTCCCAGGGGCCGCGTGGTCCCTTTTTGTGAACTTCTGACCAGCAAAGTCTATGGAGAAGCCAGATTCGCTTAACAACCAGGTGACTAACTTATCAACTGCAGTGATTCACTTAACGACCATGGCGAGAAAGATTGTAAAAAAAACCGGTCATAAGTCACATTTTTTTTAGTGCCATTGTAACTTCAAACGGTCACTGAATGAACTGTTGTAAGTTGCGGACTGATTGTAAACTCGGACAGCAGTAAGGCGGTGAAGCAGCTGGAGTCATTTCCCAGCCTGCACGTGCGCAAGCTGCCAAAAAGAAAGGAACAATTATGAACTTAAGGGTTGACACTTTCAGGAAACAACTTGTTCATTGCAGCAGTGTGAAGATCTCTCTGTGCATCTCAGAGACACTGAGCTGAGTCCTTCCTTGTCAGCACCATGTTTGAAAATATTAACTTGGCAGCTCTCCAAGCTAGATAAGGTCTGTGCTCCTGATCACACCCTTGAAAGGCTGTTGGCCGGGCCTTTGGCGGAAGGTGAATACAAGAAATTCACCCTTGTTTCCTAAAAGGGGTTTTACCTGGACAAAATGTCTGCTTAGTGCTTTTGGGGGAAGCCTAGGTTAGAACATCATTCATGTTTTCGTTAATAGGTGACTGGACAGCAGGTGCCAGCTGCAGACTCCTTCCCAAGTGATGGACCGGAGGAGGAGAGGAAAAGAAAGAACAAGAGAATTTGTGTTGGAAAAGTAGAGGCGGAAGGTCATTCAGTGGCAGAGGAGAAAAGCGCTAACAGAACCACAGAAGGTCTGGACCTTGAGGATTTCAGAGGAACCGAAGAAGAAGAGAGGAACAATGACAAACAGCTGGAGGAGAACGTTGGACCAGGAGAGAGAGAAGATGGGTTGGACAAGAGAAGACCTGAGCAGAACACTGAGGTCAAGACAGAGAAGGAGTGGGAAGGCGAGAGAGAGATGGACAGAGAATGGACTGGTGAAGGAATGACTCCGATGGGAAAAGAGATGGAAGGAGAAGAAAGGATAGAACGTGAGTCTGGACTTGGGACACCATTTGAGATCAAGCTGGAAGGTGACTCTGAAGAAGAAGAAGAAGAAGAAAGAAGGCCAAGAGGCCAAGATGGAGTTGAAAAAAAGACCAAGAGAAGCAGAAGCAGAAGAGGGGATCGAAATGTAGAATTTGTCAGGGGATCCCGGAAAAGGAAAAACGAGGATGTGGACAAGACTTTGAAGAAGAAGAAAAAGAAGAAGGAGGAAGGAAACTGGGGGAGAAGATCAAAAGCCGAGGAGGACAAGTGGAGATGGTACGTTTCTTGTTTGAGTGATTTGTGATTTTGAGGGGGAAAGTTTTTGATCTTAAATCTCTGCTATTGAAGTCCCCCCTACCTGATTTTATACAAACAGAACAGAATAGACCTGGACTAGAAGACCTTGGAGGTCTTCTAGTCCAGCCCCATGCTCAAGCAGGAGGCCCTATACTATTTCAGATAAGTGTCCAGACTCTTCTTTAAAACCTCCAGTGATGGAGCACCCACAACTTCTGGTGGCAAGCTGTTCCACTGGTTACTTGTTCTCACTGTTAGAAAGATTCTCCTTAATTCCAGGTTGCTTCTCTCCTTGATTAGTTTCCAACCATTGTTTCTTGTCCTGGCCTCCGGTGCTTTGGATAATAATTTAACCCTTCCTTCCTTCCTTCCTTCCTTCCTTCCTTCCTTCCTTCCTTCCT